CGCTCAAAGTTACAATCGTAAACCAGGAAAAAATATAATCGAATATTTTTATGAAAAATTGTCCAGATGTAACAAAGCAAAAATGGAAGACAGTGAGATTATACAGTGGATAGTAGCTGGTGTGCAAAATGATCGTTATCGTGACTATCTGGGACCACTAGCAAATTATAGTCGTCCGTTTGAACTATTACAACATTTAAAGTCTGCATCTCAATACATATCAAATGAAAAATCAAAGTCATTTTCATTTAATGGTTATGTGAACAAATCTAAAGTTTTGGCGAAAGTAGAAGTAACGTGTTTTAGATGTCGAGCTGTTGGTCATACTTCAAAAACTTGTCCCCAAAAACTGACTTTAACTTGTTTTAAATGTTCAACTCCTGGTCACAAGGCACGAGACTGTCATGTGAGGAGAAATTCAAGTACAACTGCAACAAAGTCAAGCACTTCACAAATAACTATGACAAATCAAAATAATAATAGATCAGTACTTCAAGTTGGACATTTAGTCGCACAGTCCAAGTACTTTAAAGATGCTGTCATAAACGGTGCTACAGTTAGGGCATATATCGACATGGGAGCAGCGTGTGTTGCTATGCGTTTAAGTGATGTCAATAATCTGTTAATTGATTATGATGCTCAAGTAACAGATGAATTTGTTGGTTATGGATTTGGTAAAATTCATTCGTTAGGTCGTCTTGAGACAAACATATCTATTGATGGAGTAGTAGCAAGAGTGCCCGTTAATGTAGTGCCTGACGAAATACAAGATATACCGTTGTTAGTGGGACACCCATTTACTGAACAACCACATATCATGATCACTAGCACTGCTGGAGAACTGACAGTAGAGCAAGTCATACCAAATATAGCTGTTATCACAAACAACAAAGTGCCACTATGGACGACTACGGCCGTCGTAATACCAAAAAATCATGTTGGACACATATCGGTTAGTACAAATTTACTGAAAACTGAATTATGTATAGAAGGAGGACTACGTACTTCAAAACAATTGGTTGGGTTTATAATCGATGTTTAGTCTCGACTGACGATAAAGGACTAACACAAGTGCCTGTTTTGAACTTGTCAAATGAACAATTCATTGTCAAAAAAGGTGACACAGTTACCCGCGGTGTAACTTTCACTGAGTTGTGTAATAACAACGAAATGTGTACTCGTGAAGTAAATAATGAATTAATTACGGCAGACGAAGTTATCACAGACTTAGACACTGATCAATTACAAGACGTACTGGCAATGATAAACGAATACCGTAATCTCGTGGCGAAAAATATACGACTAATTGGGTGTACACATTTAGCGGAAATGAAACTTAATATGAATGACGATCAGCCAGTGGTATATCGACCATATCGACTATCTTTTCACGAACGAATACAAGTACGTAATTTAGTCAATGAACTCAAGGATGCTGATATTGTGGAAGACAGCAATTCACCATACTCCNTTTTTAGTAGTAGTATTTTAGTATTTATTCATACAAAAACATTACAGTATCAATCTTTACATTTTACAAAAAAAATAAATAAATACATAAATTATCTACCTTCTTTAAGCTGGCGCTTGTGTTGAAGGTAGNATCGTTGCTATACTGGTGATCGACCGTTGTGTCATCTGTATGGATGGTAATGCGAGTTAGTTGACCTTCTATCGTCACCGTGCGAATTACCTGCGTTAGTCATGTGTTGTTAGGTTGTTATACACGTAATATACATTTATATTTTATGTTATATCTAAAGTTGGTGTTCTTCATTTTATTAATAAGTACCTTCTAGACTTATAAAAATTATTACATTAGATCTATCAAAAACTGATAAAAAATCTGGGTAGGCTGCGTCATAAAGAAAATATTTTAATGTACAAAATAGAAAAAACAAGAAACAAGTATTTGTTTTTTTTAAATCATCGAAAAAAGTAGAAAAAACTGAAAATATGCATTTTTTGAAAAAAACATCAAAAATAACAAAAAAAAGCATTTTTAAGGAAATGCTATAAGTCCCTAGCCTTGCTTATAATCATTCTAAAAATCATACTTTCGGTAAAAAATTTGATGGTCGCGTAAATTTTTGAGGGGCGGCGGCTCGCATCTCTCGAGTCCCCTACATAAATAACCCCTGGCCACAAAACGTTTTTAGTATTAAAAGTGATTTTCAATTAGTCTTAATATAATAAAGTAAGACAATGAATTAGACGGGCAGTCGAAACTTTTAATAATTGGGAAACTTAGAACTATTTTGATTTGACTAAAGAGGCTAACACACTAGGCCTATACTCGCGCGCGTTCGCATTTTTAAAAACGCGGCGGTTATAAACGCGAACGTCAATCATGTGTATGCTGCAGCGTTTTAACGTGTCTTTTTAAAGAAAATTATCCTGCCAATAGTTACAGTATAATCACAACAGTTTCGAAATTCCTCGTTGTATCATTTGCTCTGATTATTTTTTAAAGTATTAAATAAGTTGCAATGGAAATATTAGTTGATATAGAAGTTTCATACGTTGTGTACGCCATGTATCAACGTTGTACAAAAAAAAAAAAAAATTAATAAAAAAAACAATTGTTCGTAGACATTGGGTTCATCCCCGAAATTTAAAAAGACCTCAAGAAGGTTAATTTCAAGTTTATTATTTAACTTTGAAGAGTTATCCCGAAGATTTTTACAGGTATTACCGTATGTCTATACGGTTGGGTTGGGTTGGGTTTGTGAACAAACACATTATTAAATGAATGTAATGTATTGTCTGATAAATTAAATGTTATATTTAATTATATTTATTTAATTAAATGATCATATTGTAAAAAAGGTGGAATATTTTTTAGATACTAGTGAAAATTTATACCGTAATAATTTATTTAATAACGATCTTTATACTAACTCCCTTTTTGAAGAGGTAGCTAAAAATAAAAAAATTGCAACTTTTTACGATGATAATGATTATGAAAAAATAAACTTATTACAAAATAGTTTTAATTCTCTGTATTTTCAAGTAACTAACGAATATATTAAAACAAGTTCGAATTTTAATTCTAATACTGAATCAAAAAACGATTTTGTAAAAATAACTGATAACAGAAACATAAATACTAATAACTGTAAAATAAATTTTATTGAAAATACGGAGGAGAGCATAATGAATAAAAATATGACAAACACAGTAAAAACTTTAATGATTAAACCTGAATGTTTTGACGGAAGTGATGATGTATGCCAATTTTTTAAACAATACGACAAGGGACAAGAAGTCAATGGTTGGACTAATGATGACAAGATAAAATTTTTATCCATTTTTCTTAAAGGTACGGCTAGTATTTTTCTTGAAAATTTAGAGGAAAAATCCGCCTCATGGAAATGGGCAGCTTTAAACGAAGAATTTATTGAGGATTTTCAACCAATAGTTATGTGACATTATTAAAAAATAAACTTGAAAATAGGCGACAAAATGACTTAGAGTCGGTAATGAGTTTTGTAACGGAAGTAGAAAATCTGTGTAGAAAGGTAGATAAAAACATGTCTGAAGATCAAATCTGTACCTACATTTTAAGGGATCCTAAAGAATCTGTTTTACACGCTATTTCTTTACACGATAATTCTGATTTAAAAAATTAAAAGATAATTTTTATTACAATAATACTAGTATTTTTCGTTCATAATTGTTTTAAGCTTATTTTAAAAATTATTTTTAACTTTTTAGTTCGATGTGCTTTAAAAGCGTGTTTTTTTAGTTTTTTAAAACTATATTTATTTTTCACTTTTTAATTTCATGTTATGATAGTAGTTACTATCAATATCATGGTTGTTACGGGTAACGGGAAATCAAAGTTCGATTCCGGAGAGGGAGTTAGAGAAACGGCTACCACATCCAATCGTATATTAAATCGTATTATCATTTTTATGATTTGTTTTTTGATAATATGGCTACTATCAACGTACGCTACCAGCTATTTTTACAGTGACTTTAACGGCCGGTCAAAATATTAGCTAGTTTCTTCTTTCACTTGTTGGAGACTAACCTCTAGTGCAGGGGTCTTCAACCTTTTTTTGCAGCGGGCCTCATATTATTTTTTAATAATCTTGCGGGCCTCAATTGTAGTAACATGTATTTTAAACATGAATTCAGTTTTATTATTACAATTTAAATTAGTATTATTATTAAAACATATATAGATAAACATTTTTTTTAATTACAAATTTTTTATTTTATTTTTAGTGTGATAACTGACATTGTTTTTCACTAACTAATTTGTTTATATTTGGTTGGATCTGAGTCGATGCAATTCTGAGTGAATTTTCCAAGTGAATGTCAGTTAACCGAGCTCTAGTTTTAGATTTCACAATTTTCATTCGTGAAAAAATAAGTTCACAAGTATATGTACTGCCAAAAAGAGACATCATTCTTAATGTGTTGTTTCGAAGATTAGGATATGACTTTGCGTCAATATATTTCGAATAAAAAATTGAAAGTTCAACATTATTGTATTTTTCTTTTAATATTTTATTGTTTTGTAAATCAATGATTTCCATTTGCATATTTTCTGGGACATCTTCAACTGATAATGAAAATGGAATTGAAAACAAATTAAAAAATTTTTCATTAGCTTTGAAATCTAAGAACCTCGAATCAAACTGTAGTTTTAAATTAGAAATTGCTTCTGCGTATTTTTTCGTTGAAGTAACATTGTATTTTGACAAACATGGAAAGTGAGTTGTGTTATTTTTTTTTAGCTGGATATCCCACAGCAGAAGTTTATTTTCGAAAGATTTATTATGATCGAATAAATTATGAATTAATTGGTTTTGATGTTGCAAGCGTAAATTTAACTCATTCAAGTACAATGTAATATCCGTGAGATAGGCATAATCATTTTTCCATTCTGAATCATTGAGTAATTCAAATATTTTTCCTTTACTTGCAGCAAATTCAAAAATTTCTTTTCTTAAATCAAAAACCCTTTTCAAGACTTTCCCTCTACTGAGCTAACGAACATCTGTAAAATAGATTAGATCACCTTGTTCAGCGTCTATTTCACTTCGAAAGTTTTTAAATTCTCTATGATTCAATGCTCTTGATCTGACAAAATTTACTATTTTTACAACATCTTTCATAATAGTTTGAAAACCAACAGATTTCCCACATAAATTTTCTTGGTGGATAATGCAGTGATATTGTATCAGTTGTAATGCACCACATGTCCCCATTTCTTTTTTAATGAGCGCTATGAGTCCTTCATTTTTTCCAATCATTGATGGGGCTCTATCTGTTATAACTCCAGAAAGGTTATTTAATTTGATGTCAAAACGGTTAAATGTCGATTTTAATGCATTAAAAATATTACAACTTTTTGTTGTGCCTTTCATTGGAAAAAGCGCGGCTAATTCTTCAGTAATATTAAAATTAGAATCGACACCCCGAACAAAAATTGCTAATTGAATTGTATCTGACAAATCTGTACTTTCGTCAAGGGCCAGCGAATAAAAAATAAATTTAGAAATTCGTTCTTTTAGGGTACTCTCAATATTTGTTCCTAGTTCTTCTATACGCCTTGCTATAGTTACACCTGATAAACTCAATTTGGAAAAAATTTGTTTTTGTGCTGGACATAAAATTTCAAAGGAAACTTCCATGCACTCTTTTATAAATTCACCATCAGTGAACGGCTTCGATTTAGCGACAATTTTTTGTGCTATTATATAACTAGCTTTGATACTGGCTTCTGAGTCTTTATGACCTGTTTTTAAACTTAAATACAGACCTTGTATATTTTTCATTAACAATGCAAGTTTGTCAATTCGAAGTTTTTCTTCTATCATATCATATTTTGCTGCATGTTTGGTACTATAATGTCGTTTTAAATTGTACTCTTTCATCACTGCAATCGATTCTTGACAAATCAAACATATCGCCTTTTCTTTAACTTGAATAAAAAAATAGTTATGGGACCATTTTTCTTGAAAAACACGACTTTCATCCGAGATTGTACGTTTTTTACTGACCGTCATATTATACAAATATACGAGTATCATGCTCGTTCCACAATCGATTCCACAATTACGAACTAATAGGCAACAGCCAACATTTATCTCTAGGTCGGTAATTTAATTTATCTTATCGCATATTTCCGATAGCGATGGCTAAGCCGTTATAATTTTATAGAAATACGAAATATACATGCTTAATTTGCTCTAGTGGCTTACTTTGAAGAATTTAACCTCGAGTACTTTTGCTAATATGTCTTCTCCTAGTGCAACTAATGCAACTTCAAAAAAAGTTGCTGTCCGTTCTGATGTTAGTACGAAATCTTCAAGTACTACTTTTAATGAAGATTTAATGCAAATTATTTTGTCCTTCAAAGCTGAAGTCCTCGCCTCCAAAAAAACACTTTCTGACTCGCAATCTTAGCAGTTCAATACACTTAAAGCAGAAATATTAAAAGTTTCTGAGCAAGTGAGTGAACTCAAAGCAGAGAATATAATACTCAAAAGAGATATTGGTTCACTTAAGGCAAAAATTAGTAGTCTTGAAGAGAACAACTCGTCTGCTAACCCATCAACAATCACTAGCCAGGTTTCGCAAGAATTATTTGAACGAGATCGTTGTTCTTCCAATGTGATTGCTTATGGTGTATTAGAGTCCACCTCTTTAACTGGTTCTACATGATGAATCCATGATTAAAAATATTTTGTTGCCGGTTAGAAATTACCTTCCAACGAATCTCAAATTGAATCGGATTGGGAAACCACGTCCAGGTATTACCCGCCCACTTAAGCTAATATATACTAACAAAAAGGAAGCACAATCTTTGCTGTACCATACAACCAGGTTAAGCGGTCAGGTACTGAATTCTAAAATGGTCTTAATCTTGTCAAGGATAAGACCAAATTTGAACGACAACTATTACGTGCTTGTCACAATGATCTGTTGTCTCGTACAGCTCAAGGCGAAACAAATCTACGTATATATTATGAAAATAGTGTTCCATCTGTGGTCAAATCAATTCCAAAAAACCGGGTCTGTGGAAACATACCAATCGCCAACCAAAGATTCAGCAAATTTCTCAACTTTCATAGTTCCGTTTGGTTTTTACCACAACTGTCGTGGTCTTAGGACTAAATTTTTTACTCTTAAGTGTAATCTTGCCAGCTTTAATTATGTAATTCTTGTTTTAACAGAAACCTGGCTTAATTCTGATATATTTGATTCTGAATTATGTTTGGATAATTATAATGTTTACCGATGTGATAGAAGTATTTTAATGAGTAATTGTACTAGAGGTGGTGGTGTCCTTATTGCTGTGCATAAAAATTTTCATTCACAAATTATTTCTATCTCTAATTTAAGTATTGAACAAATTTATGTTAGTTTTAGTTATAATAATGAAAATTTTATAGTTGGTGGTGTATATTTCCTCTTAACTCTCCTATTCAATCCTATGATACTTATTCTAGCACAATTAAAAATCTAGTTTGTTGTTATAGCACCCATAGTTTTATTCTATATGGTGACTTTTACTTACCTAATATTAATTGGTCTAATGATAATTTAGGTATTTTCTATTCAATGGCTACCGAAAACAGCCTATTCCTGAGACTTTTGCTTTCTTAAACTTTTATCAAGTTAATAATGTTTTTAACGTTTACAATTCAATGTTAGATCTTATATTTACAAATAAGAATCTCTTTAAAGTTAATATGGTGCACGATCCAATTGTTCCTGAAGATCGATATCATCTTGCGTTAGCTATTGATTACCCAACAATTAAAAAAATCTCGTTCTTTCATGCTGTTGAATTATATTTTAATTTTACGAAAGTAGATTATACACGTATTTTTTTCCTATTTATAATTGGTTGGATACTTTTACTCAACTATACGTTAATTCAGCAACATCAACTTTGTATGATGCATTTCACTTCTCTATTCATCACTGGGTTCCACGTGTTAACTATAATAAATCTAATTTTCCTAGTTGGTTTTCTAAGGATTTTATTGATATAGTGTTCAAAAAAAGAAAAGCCCACGCCATTTTTAAGGCAACACGTAATCCACTCGATTACAAAAAATTTTCTCTACTACGTGCAAAATACAAATTTTTATCGAAAAATTGTTACAGAAAATTTATTGAACAGACTGAATCTAATTTTTGTATTAATCCAAAAATTTTTTGGAACTTTGTTAGAAAGAGTAAATATTAACAGTCAATTACTAAAACAATTAATTTGAATGGGTTTACTAGTAATAATAGTGTAGAAGTTGCTAATCTATTTTCTAAACATTTCTCTTCGGTATATGCTCAGTCCAGTGATATTGATAATACGTCGGTTTCTCCACATTTATATTATGATCTTCCAAGCAATTGTTTTTTTAATGTTAGTGATGTCGAATTAGAACTAAATAAATTGTACGGTAACAAATCAGTAGGACCAGATGGTATCTCTGGTGAATTTCTGTACATGTTACGTTTGTCTTTATCGTATCCATTATGGCTTATTTTTCGTAAATCACTAGATGAAGGTATCTACCCAGATCTATTTAAGGTTGTTGCCGTAACACTAGTACTTAAATATGGAGATAGTTCTAATGTTAGTAACTATAGACCTATTTTATTATCTAGCCATATAGTCAAACTTTTTGATTTATTAGTATTGCATTCTATTAAACCAGCTATTAATTCGGTTTTAATTAAGCAACATGGATTTTGCCCTGGTCGCTCAGCGACTACAGTCTAGTTTTTACTAATTACATATTTGAGGCTTTTATGAATCGCTCACAAGTATATGTAATTTACACAGACTTTACTAAGGCTTTTGATCGCGTTGATAATAAGTTATTAATGAGAGTACTGATAGATTTAGGTTTTGGTGAACCATTACACCGGCACACAAAAAAAAAAAGTTGTCTGTACTTTTGATCGGACCCACCTACAGACATGTATTTTGACCCGCTGAATCTGAATTTGAAGTCCGTTTGGCCCGGTCACCCTTCAGATTTGAGTAAAATGCAAAAAACCAAAAAATTGCAAAAAACTGCAATCAAAGCGATGAAAAAAATTTTGTGGACCCTGATCAAGTATGATTTTTATGTATTTCAATTTACTGAAACTGAATCTGTATGTTAATTAGTCCGTTGAATCGTCAACATTTGAAAAATAACAAAAAAACCCAAAATTTGCAATAAATCATGAAAAATCGAAATTATCGAGATGAAAACAATTTTTTGGATAATAAAAAAAAATTTTATTTTTACTAATATCATAAGGTAATTAACTATTTGATTTGCAATTTAAATATTTTATTTTTAAGGAAAAAAATCTCGTGCATGAAGAGGTTAAAATTCGAGAAAATCGTTCTCTTCATTCTAGTCATTTTTTTTTTATAAATATTACAATTTTTTATATTTTCATATTCTAAACTCCTATTTTATGCGTGAAAAAATACAAGAAAAGTATTTAATCGTGTTTTATAAATTTTTTTTCATATTTATAACTACAATTTTCCTGATTTTTTTGGTTTTTTGAGATTTTTTTTTATATTAAAATGTTAATGGGACAAGAAATCTTCAGATTCAAATTCAGTGGAATAAAATACATAAAAATCATACTTGATCAGGGTCCACAAAATTTTTTTCATCGCTTTGATTGCAGTTTTTTGCAATTTTTTGTTTTTTTGCATTTTACTCAAATCTGAAGGGTGACCGGGCCAAACGGACTTCAAATTCGGATTCAGCGGGTCAAAATACATGTCTGTAGGTGGGTCCGGTCAAAAGTACAGACAACTTTTTTTTTTTGTGTGCCGGTGTTATTGTTGTGGTTTGAATCTACGAGATCGTAAGGAATATGTTAAGGACTTGGTATAAAATCAGACATTATTAATGTACCTTTTGATGTTCCACAAGGTGGACATCTGTTTCCCTTATTATTTACATTATTTATCAATTATATTAAAAGTTCACTTGTTAACTGCCGTTTCCTTCTCTTTGCTGATGACCTCAAACTATTTTTAAAAATTAATTCATTTAGGTACTGCTTATTATTATAGGACGATCTTAGTTCTCTGGTAAATTGGGCTAAAAATCGTGGGCTGGAGCTGAATATTTCAAAATGTCATTCAATGTCGTTTTATAGAACTCGTGATCATATTAATTACTTGTATAGAGTTAATGTTCAAAAAAATAAATGTTCAAGCTGTAAGGAATTCCTACATTTTTCATGTGCTTCTTTCAGAGAAAGTGTTTTCAGAAAACTATCTCCAGCAGCAAAAAACAAATTTACATGCTCAAATTGTAAAACAAATACAGTCGAATTTTCAAAAGATAAAAACGTAAACAATATATTTGAATCAAATGATCCCATAACTTCGCGTAAAACTAATACAGTTGTAATCTCAAAAGATAAAAACGTAAACAATATAATTGAATCGAATGACTCGTTAACTACGCTTACACGATCTGTAAATTTTCTCAGTAGCCAATTTGACGAATTTGGCAAGCAATTAAAAGAAGTACTGAAAACTATAAAAGAACTGAAAAATGAAAATAATCTACTTAAAGAAAAAAACCAGGTTTTAAATAATGAATTGTCTGCCTTGTCAAAACGTGTAAATATGTTAGAACAAAATTCGATTTCAAACTATATTGAAATAATAGGTATTCCTGAAGTTAAAAAAGAAAATTGTATAAAAATAGTTGAGAGTATTGCTGAGAAGTTGGATCAAAAAGTTACAGTAAACAAAGCATATCGTATAATTTCGAAATTTCAAAACAAATCTTCGAAAATAGTTGCTGAAATATCTTCCTTGGATCAAAAAAAGAAAATTATGGAGGCTTCGAAGAAAATAAAAATGAATGCTAGCTCTGTAAATAAAAATTGGGGAGAAACAGGTATTTACATTAATAATTATCTTACTAAGTACAACAGTGAACTATTTTATAATACCAGAAATTTTGCAAAAGAGAATGATTATAAATTTGTATGGTTCAAGGACTCAAAAATTTTCATAAAAAAA